TAGTGCAAGTGGGAGATTGTTAGTGTAAATGCCTAAAATCCAACCTTGATTGGATAGTTTGAGTTTTTGTAACATTGCATTATTTATTTTAATAATAATAAAAGAATTTTTTTATTAATTCTTATTATTCATATTTATTTATTGAACGGAATTAGATAGAAGTCCATATGATATGCATTTGCATTAATGATTAATCAAAAGATGTGAGACAAACATTAATGTACTTAAATGATATCATTAAATATCCCAAGTCGTAGTATTGTCAAGAATGGACATTGACTATATACGGTTAGGCTTGTGAATACTATGTTCATGCTATAAGATAGTAGTAAGAGATCTCACACCTATTGGCATCGTGATACCAAAGCAAGCATTCAAGTGATTAATGTTATAAAACATATCACCGGACTTAACTCGCTATGAGAGCTCGTTTGGTTTAGTCTATGAAAATCTCATACTATATAGGTATAATTGATCCTTTAACTTGAAATCATCACGGTTATTTCATTAGAGGATTTATGTACTTTTACACTCGTTTCAATTGATCTAGTAAAGGGTTGAACATGGGCGATTCGTTAGGTGCATTCGGAATCTAATAGAGATAGGTGGATGATTAAGATAGGACATGTCATTCTTTATATGTTAAAAAAGTTATCACATTGCATTTCAATAAATGTCTACTTAAAAAATTATAGTATGAGTACATCGATAAAGCATAGTTGGTTTACTCTAAGAGCTAAGGCATATAGAAATCAAAGAAAACTTCGTGATTATAATCAAATAGATTAATAACTAAGTTTGAGATCACACTATGATAAATTGACATGAGAATTGAATTGTATGGTAACAATATTCGTAAAAGCTAATTACGGATTAATTAATGCTCCTAAAAAATTGGGTAGTCATGATGTCTTACTAGAGGCCAATCTTGATTTATGTATCAAGAGATAAAATATGTGTCTTTTATTCTTGATACATTACCAATATATCTAGGAGCCTATTGAGTCATACACATAAGTTTAAGCATTCAAATAATAAAAGAGAAGCAAAGATTTTGAAAAAGGTTTCTAATTTTGAAAGTTTTCTATTTTGAAAAAGGTTTTCAAAAAATGGAAAGTTTTCTATTTTAGAAATTAGTTTCCTCATTTAAAAGTTAGTTTCAAATTTAGAAGTAAGTTACCTAAAAAGAAAATTAGTTTCCTAATTTAGGTTTAAGGGTAATTTAGAAAATTATTTCCTAATGTAGACCTTTTAAGAATATCTAACCTAATTTATTTAAATAGTCCAAATTAATTAGTAATTAATTGAGTCAAAAAAGTTTGGATGAATAGGCTTAATTAAAAGCCTCGCAAGATATTTTAATGAGAGGATAAACATGAACCTTATTGGATAAGGATTAAGGTCTAAAAGGATAAGAACAAAAAATTTCATATGCATAATAACTCCTAATCCTTGGATGATTAAGAAGCAACAAAAAAGAGTCTTTTTAGGACTTAATACCACCACTTTCTTATCCTTAGAAGACAAGGAAGACACTCCCCCTTATAAATAAGAGAAGGGTGCAGCAAAGAGAAAAAAGAGAGCTAGGTCATACATGGCCAAGAGAAAAATATGGAGAAAATAGTTTCCTCCCTTCCCTTATACATGCCACCTCTCTCCCTCCCTCTTAGGGTTGTCGTAAAATATCCCCGAATAGATTTTTAAAGAAAAAAACACTAAACAAGTAAAAAAAAAAAAAGGTAGAGCTAGCACTCTATTACTTTTGAGTGCTTCTTATGTGAGTACTTAGATTGCATGGATTATCAATAAAGACCAAATACTTGGATGATTCCTTTTCTACAAAGGTTCAAATCTGTGTTATAAGAGATAATCCTTTACTTATGCTTTAATTCAAATATTTATGATTAGTTAAGTCAACGGCTTGATCTTGGGAGCCTTAGATGGAGAAATTTTTTTATTTTATTCCATACCTTGATAAGATGCATGATGCTTCATCAACTTCATCTATACAAGTAGAAAGTCACTATCGACTTCAAATCACATCATTTAAAAAGTTATTGTAGACTTAAATTCCCATCATTTAGGACAAACAAGCTTGACATGAACAACAAGCATGGCATAAACATCATGTTTAAATCAAACCAAATCATAAATAACAAGATCATTCATAAATACACACACCGAGATTGGTACTCGTCCCGGATAAATCATTATAATTAAAACCCAAACTTGTCCTCTCATTTTTATCGTAGAGTATTGATCATCAACCTTACTACTTCTCAAAATAACCAAGGTCTTTGACCTTTTCGGGTTCGATACACAATGGTGTATTTAAAAATACTTCAAATATTTCAAACACATTCGAATTGACATTTTTAATCTCATTCATCCAAAAATAATAAGACAATAATTTATATTATTTTCATTTAAAATACTAAATGGGTAAAGTTGATCCTAATTACTAAAAGCCTATTCGAGTCGGTCTTACCGAAAGGATCATGCATCTTATAGAGGTATGAAATAAACAAAAATTTTCCTCTATCTAAGGCCTCAAGATCAAACCGTTGAATCTACTAACCATACATACATGAATAATAAGCTATAAGTAAAGAATTACCTCTTGTAGCGCAAATCTAAAGTCCTTTTTCAGAAAATTCATCCAAGTATCCGACCTCTATTGATAATTCACACGGTTTAAATATCCACAAAGAAGCACTCAAAATTAGTGGGGTGCCGACTCTACCTTTTTTGATTTAGTATTTCCTCTAGAAATCAATCTTAGATAATTTTGTGACAACCTTAAAAGAGAAAGAAAGAGTATTTTTTGCTAGAGTTTAGGAGAAAACTATTTTCTCATTATTTTTCTCTCTTGGTCGTGTGCCCTATTTAAATTTTAGGGCTAGCCGAAACTTTGCTCCCTTTATTTTTTCCTTGGTCGAATATTGCTATGTTTTTATTAACTTGGCTAAATACTCTTTAGGTTCATTAGTCTCTCTATACCGCACCTCTCCTCCTATTTATAGGGGGAGAGTTTCCTTGTCCTCCGGGATAAGGAGAGGGACGATCACAAGTCCTTTTATGACTCTAGGTTGTTACTTCCTTATCCCTCGAGGATTATGAATTATTTTATATGTGGACTATTTGATTATTATTTTTAAAACATTCAATCTTATCCTCTCATCAAAATATCTTAAGGCTTATAATTAAATCTTAATGGGCCAAAACTATTTTAGCCTAATTAATTTATTTGGACTATCCAAATAAATATTCTTGAATTATTTTGGCGGGGTCCACATTAGGAAATATTTTTTTCAAAATAGCTTTTAACCTAAATTAGGAAACTCCTTTCCTTTTAAGTTCTTTATTTTCAAATTTGAAACTAACTTGCAAATTAGGAAATCGATTTCTAAAATAGAAAACTTTCCATTTTAGGAAACTTCATAATTAAGGAAACTTTCCATTTTAGGGAACTTTCTATAATTGAAAACTTTTTTCAATATCTTTGCTTCTCATTTATAATGTGAATACTTAAACTTGTGTGTGTGACTCAATAGGCTCCTAGATATGTTAGTAATGTATTAAGAATAAAAGACTTCTCTTTTATCTCTTGATACATAAATCAAGATTGGCCTCTAGCGAAGACATCATGACTACCCGATTCTCTAAGAGGATTAGTTAATCCATTATTACCTTTCACAAGCATGGTTACCATACGAGTCCGGTCCTCATGTCAACTTATCACAGGTGTGATCTCGAACTTGGTTATTAGTCTTGCTCGATTATGATCTCATAAGTTTTCTTCGATTTCCAAATATCTTAGCTCTTAGAGTACACCAACTATGTTCTAGTTGTGTACTCATACTATGGCCACATGTTTCTTGAGAAGACATTTGTCGAAGTGCAATGTGATAACTCCTTTAGCATATAAGAAATGACATGTCCTATCTTAGTCATACACCTACCTCCATTGGATTCCTAGTGCACCCAACGAATCGTCCATGTGCAACCCATTAATGGGTCCATCAAAATGAGTGTCAAAGTACATAAGTCCTTCAATGAAACAACCATGACGACTTCAAGTCTAAGGACCATTTATACCCATCTCGTATGAGATTCTCATAGACTAAAATCAAATGAGTTCTCATGTTAAGTTAAGTTCTAGTGATATGTTCTCTAACATAAATCATCAAAGTTTTTGCTTTGGCATCACCATGCCAATAGGTGTGAGATCTCCTACTGCTATCATAACATAAGCATAGCACTCACAAGTCTATCCGCATATTGTCAATGTCCATTCTTGACAATGCTACGACTTGGGACATTTAATGATATCATTTATGTGCATTAGTATTTGTCTCACATCTTTCGATCAATCACTATTACAAATGCATATCATAAGGATTTCTATCTAATTCTACCGAATTTATCAACATATAAATATAAGAATTAATATAATAATTTCTTTATTATTATTAAAATAAATGATATAATAATACATTAACATGAACTCATCTAAACATGACTAGATCTTAGGCATCAATACTAACACTTACTTCCTTCTATCCCGATGAAGACTAATTATTCAATCAACTAAGAAAAATGAAGGGACTATTGTTTCTTTGGTAAGTTAAGTCCTTAGTCTCTGTTGAGTTCAATTCATAACCTATAACAGCAAAACAAAAATACACCTAGATTGTGTATTTTTTTAGTCCCCTGAGCTGTTTTAAGTCCAGTTTAAAGTTTATATTTTTTTATATGCTATCATTATTTTACTGTAACAAGAAAATATAGCAAACAACCATCAAGAGCTCTATTTTTTGATTTAATATCCCTCTCTTATCACCATTAGAAACTACAAACAACAACGCAATAAATAACCAAAATAGACAGTTTCAATTTTGGGTTTAGTATCCCTATCCCGCCACTATTACAAGATATAAACACAACACAAATTTTAGAAACATAATGGTTAAGAGGATTTTGGGTAGTGGGTTTTAATGATGATTTTTTACTGGTATGGCATAAGCTTGACTGGCATTGGGTTTAGGATGGTGAAGGTGGTTGTGTTAGGCATTGGTGTGGCTGTGGGCTAGGCTGACAGTAGTTGAGGGTTAGGCTGAGTAATTGGGTTTCGATGGAGTGACTGTGGGTCTTGTGGCAGTAGCTTTGGTGTTCGATCAAGGTGTGGCTGTAGTTCTTGGTGGTAGTGGCTATGGTGTTTGGTCAAAGTTTGACTATGGTTTTCGGTGAAAGTATATATGGTGTTTGATCAAGGTGTTAACTGTGGTTCTTGGTGGCTGGTTCTTGCTAGAGAAAATAATGGTGGTGGGTCTTGGTGATTAAGTGGGTAAGTCTTGATGAAGGGAAAGAAGATATAGTAGCAGCTTAGCTGTGGTGAGGTTCTGCTTGGGTCTTGGTAAAGGTTGAAGATGGAGATGGGTATAGGTAGTTTAGTTGGAGGTTAAAGATGATGCAGTTATGGTATGGGTCTACTTCAGCTAGCATGGGAAAGAAGATGGAGCAGTGATAGCGTGGGTATGGTTCGGCTGGGATCTTAGTGAAGGTTGAAGATGATGCAATGGTGGCGAGGATTTGGTTCGATTTGGGTCTTGGTGAAGGTTGAAGATGATTCAGTGATGGTGTGGGTGTGGGAGGTTCTTAGTGAAGAAGATGGGTCAAGGTGGTTGGGTGGCTAGAGGTTGAAGACAGAGATGCAGTGTTTTGTTTGGTTATGACAGATTCTTGGTGAAGGTTGAAGGGGAGAGGAGGAAGATGGATGTAAAAGGCCTGGATCATGCTTGGTTTTTATTTTTATTACACTAAAATTAAATACAGTTGCACTTTCTTAAGTTTTTTTTTTTTTTTTTCCTTTTAGTTAAAATTTTCTTTCTGTTTTGATTCATGTTGTGATTTTTTTTTTTTAATCGTTAAAATTTTATCCTTTTTTTTTTAATTTTTGTGCTTTGCCTTAAACACAATTGATGTTTTTAGTCATATTGTTTATAAACTCTTTTTGGCTTCTTTGTAAAAGTTTTCTTTTTTTTCCTTATTTTATGTTTTTTATTTTGTTTTGATCATTTAAGTTTGTTATGTGTAATTTTTATCCTTATCTTTTGTCAAATAGATTTTGAAATATTTCAATTTCATCTCAATTTGAAAAATTTTTATCTTTCGTTTATAATGAAAATTCAAAATATCATAATATTATTATTTTAATTATTAATTATTATACATAGTTGTAATAAAATGTATTTGCATTAAAAAATATCTAATTAGTAATATTATTTTTCTGAACTTTAAAATTTAAAAAAAAAAAACTAACCTCGTGACGTATAAGATATATGTTTTGGTTCATTTATTTTTAAAATTTTTTTACATAATTTTTTTAAATAATTATTTTAAATTTTATATTTTATATGGATAAACACATGAGAATACTATGTGATATATGATGCTTGTATCATGACTACATCAAGATGCATAAAGAATTCTCCATAAACAATAAAGTTTGAACGAACATTAAAATGAACTTGGCTTTTTGGATGTTTTAATTCCCCACAACAAAATTATTCCCCTGGCTTTCTTTCTCTAACTTGGCAAATAACAAACGCAAGAATAGAAGGCAAAAGCACGAAGAAAAGTATATATAGGTATTGATTCATACAGGAATAAACACAAATATCATGACTGCATCAAAACACTGCCCAACAAGCCCTTCCCTTCCACAATTTCAAACAAGCACGCTAAAGACTAAACGGTTCCCACATGTCAACATAGCAACTCAAAGAGCGGGGAAGCATCTTCTTCCAAGCATCAAGATCCGGCAATTGACCAGTGATGGCGAGCGAGCTATCATCCTTTCGATTCCCAAGATTCAATACAAAAAGCCTATTGCCGAAAACCCGGTGCATTGCCTTCAAAGTACGTTCCATAACCACCTTACCATCCCTTCTTTTATCCTCAGCCTCCACACAACTGCCCCCAACATTCACCATGATCCGCCCTCCTTTTCTCAAGCTCTTCCTTAATTTCTCCCAAGTGTTTGGATCTTGAAGTTCAGGTATCAAACTACCTTTACAAAACAAATCAACAAGAATTCCGGAGAAACCATCTTTAACTTTAGCAGTTAATGCATTTCCGACGTAAATAAAAAGCCTATCTGGGTATTGTTTTTCGAGTTTTTTGAGACCAAAATACTCTCTTCCAACATCAATCACTGATGGGTCAAGCTCCCATCCATGTATCACCACTCCTGGATACAATTCGAGCAACAAGCGAGCTGCGGAACCCGCTCCGAACCCGAGAATGGCAATGGGTCCAGGGGGTACGATGGGGGGCAGAGTAGCGAAAACGTCGAAATAAGTGTTGGTTAGTGCTTTGAAGAGAAAGGAAATGCTTTGAATGTTTCCAGGAGCATCTAAAAGGAGGAGTCTAGAGCCTGCAAAAGGGTGATCAGCTTTTCGAGAGATTTCGAGTACCCGAATGTAGTTGTGTCTAGACTTGAATTTGGCTATGATTTTGACATCTTCAATGGGGATGCCATCCTGTTGAGTCTTGGTTTGACGAGTGGAATTGTGGGTTTCTTGAGATTTGGATTTTATTTGGCGAGTTCTTGGAAGGGTTTTGGAGGAGAATTTGAGGTTTGTAGGGTAGGTGTGGCGGGAAGTTTGAATGGGGAAAGGGCTCAACGGTCGGATTTGAAGTGTGTTTAGAGACATTCGCTCTGTCTCGCTCTCTTTCTGGTTAATGGCGAGTGACAGCAAGGATTTATAAGGCGAAGAGAATAAAGAATACGGCGTAGTTTCAAGCGCAAAGATGGTGCTCTACTGAATATGGCCTGTTTGTTTGAGATTATTTGGAGTTCTAGATATCGAAAATATGGAAAGGCCTTTTGGACAAGGCTATAACTGGTGTGGCATGGTTTGCCAACTTGCCACATGCATTGCACACTCACGGTAGAAAAAAAAAAAAAAAAAAGAAGCCCAGAAAAGCAGTGATGGATGGAGAGATTTGCTTTTTGGTTCAATACAAACTAAATATTCTCGAATCGGTTTGTGCATGCACGTAAATCCAATCTAAAATCTAAATCTTTTATCTGGATAGTTTTAAACCAGACCCTCTATATTGATCTCATGCATTAAAGAAGAATGCTGAGCCATCAGCCACCAGTACCTCACCGCAGTCAGTTGTGACCAATTCAAGCTTACTGCATCATGGGTGCATTACTATAGGCATGCGAACAAGGCCCAGGTCGGTCCAAAATCTGAATGCTTCTGCTTGCCCAGAATAGACATGAAGAACGAGACTATCAATTATGGTAGGAGCTCCATACACACAAGTAATTAAGCAAAGCAAAATTTACCATGCTAACCAAAATGAAGGTTTTCTGGACAAAAGTGTAGAACAGAGTAATTCAACAAAAAGGCTTGCACTGAGGGAATATGACCATTTGCAACTACCTATTCTACTGATATTTGTCAAAAGTATCTATATGGTTGCTGGTCCAAAGACAAAATCCTTTCAAACTATAAGCTACGTGTGGAGGGAAGATCTGTCAAGACTGCATGATATAGAAGCATTCAAGCTAGAAGATAACTGCTCTCCATGCATCACAACCCTGGATTTTCTTTCTTGTCTTCTTCCATCGCATCCACACCCTCCCTGCATTAAGATTCAGAAATTTCTATATCAGAGGAAGGGGCAGATGTGTAGGAATTTACTTTGGAAATTCTATAGGTGTAATAGTTCTTTGGGTCTAACTTTATCTCAAATAATCATTAAGTCTAAAAGCTAAAAAGATAAATTTATCAAACATGGGAAGCAGGAGGCATATAATTTCCACTCTCAGGTTCAGTTGCAATCACTTTGTATGCATGACTCACCAATTCTCAGAGAAAGATGAGAGACAGACAGACAGAAACTTGCATAAGAACAACTGATGAACTCCCTCCCAGATTCTTCCATTTAGATACAAATGGGTGGAGTGTGTGGATGTAAGCCGCTTCAGCTATTTTCAGATACAGTCTTAAGGGGCAGAGCACCAGAACTGCCTTCCAGAAGTGATTTGACGAAGTTCAGTTCAGCAAACAACTAAAATTTCTTACCTTCTCTCATTATTTGACAGTGCATCAGCGTTGAAAAATCTAGGTCCAGATTTCTCATCTTCATCACGATCAGACTCATAATCCTCACCATTCCATATGCGACGCTTTGGTCTTCGATCCATGTCCTCTTCAGGCTGCATCCAACGAGTTCAAAAAGGAAAGGTAAATAATCAAAGAAGTAATGGCAATCAAATTATTTAAAGAAAATTTTTTCACTGCCTACCAACCTCTTCCGGAACTTCAGTAGTGGGTGGTGTTGTCTGAAAAGGTACACTGGGAGCATTAGGCAGTCTAGAAAGTTGCTCTAGCAGCATGTTCCTGAACAAGTTGCAAGTCACAAAATTGTACAAGCAGACATAATTACAACAACGTTGGAAGGACAGATAACAAATTTACGTACAGAACATTTGTAAAGCCATTCTATCTGCAACACCCACATTTAGGCACGTAAAGTATTATGCATGAGAGAGAGAGAGAGAGAGAGAGAGAGAGAGAGAGACTACTCACACGTGTGTGAGAGAAAGTTGTGGCAAACTGAATGAAATTTAAGCACGCAGAGACATTTTCTTGGAAAATTTAACCACGGCATCAACAAATAGTAAATGCAATGAATATCAGAACAGATGAACAAAGTCACGGTCCTTCAACAAATGAAACAGAATGCCAGGTAACAGAAGCTAATTTATAGGCCTCGAAATAATAAACCTCCAACCTGACTTTTCTTTTGTCATAATACATCTCAGCTAAATGTTCGTCAATCTGATCATTCAAAACCTTCTATTCGAATAAAATAATTACCTTCATTCTTGTAACTATCGGAAGTATATAGGGGAAATTTTGATTAAGAAACTTATAAAAGAGGCAATCAGCTAAGAAATTCAAAGTAAGAATAAGAATATAATTTAGCATAGGAGTGCACCATGCTTTAAACCATAGTGGAAATGTAGTTGAATCCATTTCAACTTAGTAATTTTAACTCTAAGTTTCAAAGAAGTACATAACAAATCTCTATATGATATGAGCACTGGAAGGGGGCAGATCAACTAGAAGTAGTAATGCCTGTTTATAGATTACAGAGTTGACATTTACCAAAATGACATTATTTATGTTAAATGCAAAATGTTTTCTTCTTGTAGGTTCTAACCTCTCAAATTGATATCCTCAGTTTTGAAATGTAATTTTAAGAGTTAATGTGGCGCTGATTGTATCTTTAGTCATAAAGTAATGAAGTAGTGAAAATCACCTTATTCTCTCCATATCTTTGGGTGAGTTTAGGTTATCCACATTAGATGGCTCAACATGAAGTGTGTAATGAGGGCCAAAGTACTCATAGTACTCATTGTAAGGCAATTTATTATCTGGTTCCACCCCAACTGCAACTGCTGTCTGAGACAAAATAACAGGTGTATTATAACTTTTTAGCATCGTTATGCAATTGATATGCATGTGCGTGTGCGTGTGCACGAGAGAGAGAGAGAGAGAGAGAGAGATACCTCATAGCACCAGCAACGGGCAACATTCCTGATAGTATACCCACCCCCACCCAAGACCATCAGAGGAACATTAAAAGATCTAAGAAAACGAAGGCAGTCTGCATGGCCCTTAACAGACAAGTTGAAACACCCCAGCCTATCACCAGATAGTGAATCTGCTCCACATTGGAGAACAACTGCATCAGGTTGATAAACCTCCATCACTTTTTGGATGAGTGGCCGAAACAGACCACGGAAATTTTCATCATCCATCCCATCATTTAATGGAATATTCAGGGCATAGTTCTTCCCTTGCCCAGCCCCGGTGTCCTTAATGTGCCCAGTCCCTGGAAAGAAATCTCCATATTTATGGAAGGACACAGTCATAACCCTGTCAGTAGTATAGAATGCCTCCTCAACGCCATCGCCATGGTGGACATCAATATCTACATACAATACACGCTGCCCAAATACATTCAAACAAGAGATTCAGAAAGACATCGAGGAATCAGAACATGCAACAGTGTTGATTCACAAAGCTTAAAAAGAAAAAGAAAAAAAAAAATTCTTCAATACAAATTGAATGAGATCACACAAGAAAAATAGAGGCACACCTAACATGGACATTCAAAATCGTTCATATCACAACTAAAACTGGAAACGAGCAAATATCAGAAGCACTTACACCATTTGTACAAACATGCTCGAATACAAAGAAACTACTGTATTTGAAGGAAGACATATGTCAAAAACCATAATTTGTATTCCCAATCTGAATAACTAGGACGCATAAAATTTGTGCTGTCGTTGGTATCTCATTAAGCAAGTTCACATTGACACCACCAAATCCTAATTTCATTAAGCAAGTTCACACTGACACCACCAATCCTAATTTCGACTCCCAAAAAACAACCACACTACATTTTCTCAATTAGGCACACAAAATAAAACATTGCCAACCAAAACTTTGCTTAAAATTTGATAAAAACATAGCTTAGTGGAAATAAAGTACCAATATATATATATATATATATCAAGCACAAATTATCATTTACAAAATAAACCCACATCAATAAACAAGTAAAAAGTAACCCAAACTAAAGCATACAAACAATAAACAAAATAAATAAAATAAACTAAAAGAGAAAAACAGAGGCATTAGTAATTTACCCTGTGAACTTTGAGCAACTCAAGAATGCCGAGAACAATATCATTTACATAACAAAACCCAGAAGCCTCACTCTTCTTAGCATGATGTAACCCACCAGCCCAATTCAAAGCAATATCAGCATCCCCTCTATTAAGCTTAACAGCAGCACCAATTGAGCCACCAGCAGAGGCTTGACAAAACCCAAATAACCCATCAAAAACTGGACAATCTTCACCAACATTAAACCTCTTCAACTGCCTCCCATGTGCTTGATCGCTAACTGATTGTGGTGTCACAGAAGACAAGAATTCCACGTACTCGTCAGAATGGAACTTTCGAATGTCTGTAGGACCTGCTGGGAAGGGACGGTTGATTTCCATCCGACGGTGGAGAGCGTAGTGGACTATCAAGTTGTGGGCCATACGGATTCTGTGGGGTTTCATTGGGTGACCTTGACCGTAGTAGTAGTCGCCGATTGTGGGTTCATAGAAGTAGGTGACTCGGCGTTTTTTTGCGTCTGTACCTGTTGATGGTAGAGATGCGCCTCCGGTTATGTCCTCCATTTTTGTCAAACAAGAAATTGAAAATCTGTGTGCGTTTCTCTGAAGAGGAGGGGAGGAGGGAGGGAGGGAGGGATTTGTAAGAAGAGGTGAAAAATGTTGGGGATGGGGTGTTGTTGGTGTGAAATACGTTCTTATAAGCTCTTGGGTCAAGGACTCGTTTGTACTTGTGTAGAGATGGCAGTTTTTCACTACCTAGCGGGTAAATAACCCGACCAAATCCGTTTAACTCCAATATCATACAGCTTTGGTTCGGAGGAACTTCGATATTTAAAATATTAATTCCAATTATGTAAGCGGCATATCTAGTAGTATTTGTCATCGATACTACAAGGGTTGTTTTTATATGCTCGATATCCATTGTGAGTTTATTACTCTATTTATTAACCATTTTTATGGTATATGCATTTGTTTAAAAAGAACAAAAATTAAGCATAGTTGCAATATTTTTTTATATTAATAATTTGTAATATATGTTTTTAATGGTAAAAATTACCTTCAAACTACTAGGGTTGTAGTAATTTAAGATTTTTATTATCGATTTATATTATTTGAATCTCAAACTATTATTTTCTAGATAATGATTATTATTTTTTTTTGTTATCTTTGATGATCAAAGGGTTAACTATAATTTGAATGCTTAAACAATTTTGTTTAAGTATTTATTATTATTGTAAAAAAAAATAATTTAAAAAAATATATATAATAATAATTAATACGGATGACATATCGTTCTAACATGTGACCCATGTCATTATGAGACTTTATTAAATTTACTAAATTAATTGAACTCGAATAAAAAGTGAGGCTACAATTGACATTGAAAATCAATTTTTAGTTATTGGTATTCATGGCTTCCCATTCTTTTTCATCTTTTTCTACATCATCAAGTGTAAAACTTTCTAATTTAGAGAACACATCTTCATTATTTATTCAAAGACACAAATACAATTATCTCCATGAATCCCAATGAGATATTACATGTAACTCCCGTGAACTTACTTAACGTAGATATACGTATGAAAATAAATTTATCTACAACTACTAAGTTGCAATTATGATTTTTGTGTCATATTGTGTTTGGTGGGTTTAAGATGCTTGGGTAAAAAAAAATTATTTTCGGTGTTCCGAAATTTAATTTTCGAGCCCAAATATGAGGACAATCGAATAGGTCATACGGATTCTTGAAGACATGCTACGAGTATGCGTTCTTGATTGGTCCGAAAAATGGAAGAAGTACATACACCTTACGAAGTTTGCCTACAATAATAACTATTAAGCATCCATCGGGATGGCTCCTTATGAGGCTTTATATGGACGACGATGTCGATCCCCAATGCACTCGGGATGAAGTAGGGGAAAGAAAATTATTGGGCTCGAATTGGTGCAACAAACGGCCGAGGTAGTGGAAAAGATTCGTCAATGGATGAAGAAGGCCTAAAGTCGATAGAAAAGCTATGCCGATCGGAGGAGAAAGGAGCTGGAGTTTGCAGCTGGTGACTATGTTTTCTTAAGGGTTTCACCGACAAAAGGCATACTCGCGATTTGGGACGAAAGGAAAACCGAGTCCATGATATATTGAACCATTTGAACTACTAGACCGTATAGGCGAAAGGCATACCGCCTATTTTTATCGTCAACCTTGTCGAAGTACATGATGTCTTTCACGTGTCTATGTTAAGAAAATGCATTGGAGAGCCTAGTCAAGTTCTAGAGGCAATGCCATCGAACTTGACATCGAACTTAACATACAAGGAAAGACCAATCCAGCATTCTCGATCGACGACTTAAACACTTAAGGAATAAAGAAATTGCCTTAGTTAAAGTTTTGTGGGAGAATAATAACCTCGAAGAAATGACCTAGGAACTAGAAGAGAAAATGAAAAAGAAATACCCGCATTTATTTGTATAAACCAAATTTCGAGGATGAAATTTTTTTAAGGGGAGAAATGTAACTCTCGTGAACTTACTTAACGTAGCTATACATACGAAAATAATTTTATCTACAACTACTTAGTTGCAATTATGATTTTTGTGTCATATTGTGTTTGGTGGGGTTAAATGCTTGAGTAAAAAAAAAAAATTATTTTTGGTGTTTCGAAATTTAATTCCTAAGCCCAAATACCTTTTGAAATATCCATAATTATGTTAGCATAAATTATGTGTCATTTCTTTTATACTTGTGGTGTGAAAATAGTTAAAGTTTATGAAAGCGTTCATAGGAATATCCTTTTTGAGAAATTAATTAGTCAGTATTTATTTTTTCATAATGTATATTTAAAATGACCATGCAAGTGAAAATATATCCCATTTAAGAGGTATGGTCGAAATTTTGGAGCTAGGTAAGGTTAGGAAGTTGGTTAATTTTAATCACCTTTTAATTTCTTTCTTTAGTTAGTGATGTGACATAAAATCTTCCATCATACTTTCAATTGTACTTTCCCATTTAATTTTGGAAGGTTAAACACTCCAACTAGCATCTCTTTTTTCTCCATCAATTGACATCTCTTACAACAAAAATTGGACACTTGGCATATTAAATATGAAAGAAATAATGGTTTAAAAGATGTGATATAAAAAAAAATGGAAGGAAAGCTTAAGACTTGCCATCTTTTTTGTCAAAAACGTATTGTGCAAAGAAAGGAGAGAGAGTGATGGTTTTGTGAGGGAAGAAAGGGAAGAAAGAAAGGAGAAAAAGAAAGGAAAGAAAGGAAGGAGAAAGAGAAGAAAAAGGCTAAGAAATCTTAACCAAACACACATCATTGTAAGTTGGTTTCATTTAGCATTATTTATGCCTTAAAATTTAAATGTTCATGTTTATTTTATGATTTTGTTTAAGCTACGTAATATGTGGTTATGGTAGTTTGTGTTGATGTTAAAAATTTGATGTTTAGTGATGGATGTCCGATGTTTTGATGATGGATTTATTTTGGAGGTACCACATGCTGTAAAATTTTTAGTTTCGAAATTCATGTGATTTATTTATGGATCTTAGATTTGTGTTTGGAAACAACTCAAAGAATGAAAGTTGTTTATCTATGTGTCTACTAGCTCTCTATAAAATTTCATGATTTTTATATCTATATATAAAGCGTTATGGCTGATTTGGTACAGATCATTTGAATGTACCGCATGCTGAAAAAATTTTAGTTCCAAACTTTGTGTGATTTATTTAGAAATCTTAGATTGATTTCTAGGCAAAAATCAAAGAACAAAAGTTGTTCATCTATGTGTCTAATATCTCTCCATAAAATTTTATATATATATATAAGGTGTTATGGCCGATTTGGTATAGGTTGTTTAGATATACCACTACTGAAAAATTTTTAAGAAAGATATGAGTTTAGGTACTTAAACTTGATTAGTTAAGGTGTTTAGTTAGAATAAGTATTTAATTATACAACTAAGCCACCCTAATATAACCATATGGGTTAGGGAGATATGTATAAATGGGCTTGGACTTAAAATAAAGTGGACTTGAAATAAAACAAATGGACTTGGACTAAAACAAAGTGGGCTTAGACTAAAATAAAAAAAGGTTTGCATTACAATCAATGGACTTGAGTTAAAATAAAAATGGTCTCGGATTAAAATAAAATAGAATTGGATTAAAACAAATGGACTTGGGCTTGGAATAAAATAAATGAGCTTTGACAAAAACAAAATGAGTTTAGATGAAAATAAATGGACTTGGATATCCTAAGAACACTTAGTGGACCTTGGTACTAAAATGGTCAAGTTGGATCATACTATGAAAATATTGATGAAGACCCAAGTGTGAATTGAATTTCTAAAATGGTATGGATATAAATAGTTTGGTGCCTATGAGATATGAAATATGGTTCATGATATATGAAATGGATTAACCCTAGTAGACGGGTCTTGAATTCCTTAGGTGAACTCAATGGTACGGAACCGATAAGTTTAATACCTATGACTTGATGGAATGTGGTTCATGATACATCACGTGCATCATACACATATGGGATGGATTAAATTGAGAAAAACCATTGAGTAAAAAATGATGAGGTTTGGTAATCGAATCGAATGGAAATTGGATAGGTTTGGTAACCTATCGGATAAAAGGGGTATTAGCAAATTCAACCGTGTGCGTACTCTAAGCCGTGTGCCCGCACTATTAGATGATGTATTCCCACTAACAATGGCTACAACGAGGGATAATTCCGTTGTAGTAAAAGGTGAGGTGCGGTTCACTCGGATTAAATATAGAGTAGACCTCGCTAATACCCAAGGTACTCGAAAATAAAATTTGATGAGTCGAAGTGGGAGAAGTCAAAAAATCATTACATATCACGTGCATCACCTTACTTACCGAGCTTCGACTTACTTTGTGTTTATTTCATGCCTTGACGAGTAAAGGTGATACTAATGCCGATAATGAAGCCGTCGATTCCTCTCGAAAAAGGCTCATATGTGACGCGAAAAAAAATTATAGGATCTACCTTTGTTTGTAAATTACATTTTGTAATTTTTGTAATGATATTCAAGTACATTCGGTATGTGTATGGAATTAAATTTGAGACTTCGTCTCTAAACTATGATGCACCCAATCACGCCTTTTAGGTAATCGACAAGGGAGTCAGGGGCGCCGCATTACAATTGCAAACTTTTAGTTCCTTGATGAGTTTCATGAAGTGATAAAAAAACCTAGACATACATGAAGTTTTTTTCATATCCTAAATTCAAGGAAAAAGATGGTTAGAAAAAATGCGATTACTTTCAATTTCAAGATCATATAGTTAGAGAAAGAGCATGAAAAGTTATTGATATTTTGAAATATACCGAAAAGAGACTAGTTACATAGAATAAGCATGTCTATAGAACAAGTGCTAAGAGAGAAGATTGTCCTTGATAATGAAGATAAGGATAAGAAAAGAAACAAATTTGGATGTAAAATTGTTTTAGTTATAGTTGTTTGATTGCCTTGGTTGTGATGTTGTTATACTTGTTGTTGGTTAAATAGAGTGTATGGGCAATAATAT